TTGAGTTTTTCTACTCTCTTTGGTGTTGTTGGTAGGGTTTTCAATGATTTCAGATGGATTTCGATTCATTTCATGACGGACGCCATACCAGATTTGGCACTGGAAATGATCGTTGCGGCTGCTTTTGAACATCCTGTACTTCCACCGCCCCGGTTTGTTTAATCACGTAGCTTGTCAGCCAAAAGGCGCAATAACTTCATTTCTTCAACTAGTACACTACACTATGAATGAAAAATGTTCTGTTCAAGAACACCACTGTCAGCTTTCCGACGAGTTTTGCAACTGATCGCAAGGCACAACTGGACGGCTCGGCCACTTTTCGTCGACTTTGACAATGCCTGGAATGGTTTGTTGCTTGGTTTACTTGTTTTCTTTTTTATAGCATAGGTAAATATATCGAAAGCTTTTATTAAATTTATTCATGTTGCTTCAGAAGAAGAAATCGCGAAGCTCGAATCGAATTTTGTCAAAATGCGTCCAATTTTGCCACCCATGGTGATAATTACCAATGAAGACCCGGTCGGATCTAAGTGAGTAGAGTTGTGATTCATTTTTCTATTCCTCTTACGGTTTTGTTCGCTGCGGATGACGGGGCGTGTTAGCGGGGCTGGGTTGGCGCGGAGCCAGCTCGTTCTCCACAAATTGTTGAAGGGCAAGCGACAATAGTTGGTGGAAAACAGGCTCTCATAGGATGAGAGGGAGGGGACGAGGAGGGGCCAGTTGCATCAGCAGCCGAAGAAGCTTCAGCATTTCAGATGGACTCGTGACGGACCAACTCCGTTAATGCTGAAACGAATTATAGCATTGGCAACCTCTACTTTAAAAGTGCTTGATGTGAACTATGAGAATGACAAACGGGTGGACCTTCAGGTATGTCCTCTAATGTTTTTTTACGGTTTTGGCTATTTATTCATGAAACTTGGCTCCACGTCTAACGATAACGCAAGTTTCTGTATTCTAGGCCGCGCTTTCATCCGTAGACATGTCCATTTATGATGCGATAATTGAAATATATCCAAAAATGGTGGTTCGTAAGGATGTTGCATATGAGCAGCCCCAAAACGTAAAGGTAAGAGAGTTGTTTCATTCAGTAATGGATAAAATTTGATTGGCAAGTGAGAAAGCGCAGAATCGTTCCTGGTAGTGGAAAACAGTTCAATCTATAGTATGGGGAGTTGTACTCCTCTCTTACTCTGCTATTACAATGACGAAGGAAGTTGGCCCTCAGCACGTGCTCTTGAACGCTTTTCAGGCATTACCAGTGGTGAATTTTGATCCCATAGAGGAACTGGTCTACGAACTGAATGCACATTTCCAACATGTGGCTTTATTCTTCTGGAATCGTTATGGTGGTGATTGTATCGGTCTTAAATGGAAGCCACATGAGATGGAGGTACCAGCTAAGGTGAGCAAAAGCTTTCCTTTGAACTGTGATTGTGGTGAACTGTTTTAAAGTTACTTGAAGTCGGTGACTTCACGACTTGGTGGACCTTCTTGTGTACAGCACTATGCATCTTTTTAGACTTCTTTCAATGAACGCTCAGATTCGCCTGCTCTGAACCATGAGGCGGAAGGGGCCTGCAAGAGCTGGGGCTTCTTCCCTTACCGTCTGTTGGTTTGCCAGCCATGCAGGATTGTCCTTAAACAGATCTTGTTGCCAAATATTGAATTGAACTACTCCGACTTGGAAGAATGTGGATTTTTCTGCAATCTTACTCGTCTTCAGATATCGCGGTGTTGTTTGCACCATGCCAGGGATAAAGGAGCCTCTGATCTCCTACTGAACAAAGAAGAAGTCCTGGAAGGAATACGGATATTGGGTAGAGGAATTGTTAAGGATATTCATTGTAAATAGTAAAGTAAGACTTTCACAGTTATTTGTTGTCTGTGTTGTGTTGTTGCAGCACTTGTTAGCTTCTTGCTGTTACAGTTTTTTGGCGCTGTTCGGCATGGGAGGGGCGTTTTGCACTTTCGCTGGTTTCTTTTGTTAGTTCCTGTTTACTTACAAGTCTAACTTTGGTGAGTTCTGTAGGCCCTTGTCAAAGTAAGGGAGGCTCATGCTGCTGCCTAGCTAGCTTTGCAGAACTTTACAGGTCTGTACAGGAGGCATCGGCAGCGGTCGTTGGGAACCTGGAAAATGTCCCCTTCATTCCGAACTGCGCCTAATGTTTGTTAGTTTTATCATCACGTTGAATGTTGTATGATGTATTGTACTTTGTTGATTTATTGATTGTTGTTGGTTGATTGTTGCCATACAAAATTGTTATTGGATCAGATAAATGATTCCATTATGCGTTCCAAGAATATTTTGCCAATTTTGGTTTTGCCGATATCTATTGCTGGTTTAGTTGAACTTATTGGGTGAATTTCGGTATTTTTGAAATAGCCTTTGGTAGCAGAGCACCTAACGGCACATATACAGGTCTAAAAAAGATTGAGGGGTTTCGGCACATGGTCCTGCCTACTTCGCCCTTCTTTCTGACCCATCCTTGGTGTGAGGATATGGGCCAGTCTTTATTAGGCCCGCAAACTTTGCGAACGCGTTCATACTTAGCGATGCAATCGCTCGAGTGGTCCGATCGCGCGATCATCGCATCGCTGAGTATGGACGCGCTCCGCCCATTCTTTCGTTTCTAGGTTACCGTTGATGCCGGTTCCAAGGATGTACAACGCGTAGACACGCGCGACATTTCAACTATTGAAACGCTATTTGTGAGAAGTGCTGATACTGTATGTTCAATAGGGTGTCGTCAGCAAAGCGCTTCAATGGACGACATTGACGCACTGGTGGGCCAGCTGAGTGACACACAGGTGGATCCTACGGCGTTGGGTACGGTATGGTTTTGTGAAAATTGTAATATATCTGTATAGAATGTGCTTTTACAGCTTAGGTACTTCATCTGGGTTACCGACAGACAAGGCAGGGTGTAAGGTCCTCAAAGAGCAAATTTTACAAGTGCTGTAGAAAGTACAGCCAGTTTCTGACCGTGCTTTTCTGCCGGGCAGGTAAAGTTGGACATTAAGACCGAAGGGGAAGGGGTCGTACTGGAAGCAGCTGTAGAGGTGACTTTTACTGAACGACCAATTTCCCCTCATTTAGCAGTTGAATAATAGACCGCGGTGCTGGACTTCTATGGCCGCTATGCCTCTGCTTCCCAGTTGATCGCCGTCTTACTTATCGGGGAGAACCGGGAACTCCGCCCCCCTCCCCTCCCACGTTGCTGTGGAATCGAATATAAGTAGGGGAATTATTGTGACGTTCTCAAGCTTTTTACTTGTTACAAGAGGATCTATTCTTTCTTTGTGTATTTACTTTGATTGTTTAAATTCGTAGAGGGGTCATGAGTGAAGTATACAAATCATGGTTCCATTCAGGTGAACACCCACGATTTAGCAAGTACAAGAACGCGGGAAGAGCTGCTGAGCAACAAGCACGGCGCAGGGAAGATGTGAGTTGAAATACTCTCCGGCGCGGTTCTGCATTGTGGGGGCATTTTGCTGGATCCCATCCGATCATCGCCATTCCCTTTGAAGACCTATGAACCCTTGTAAACTGTAAACTATATGCAACAGCACGCTCCGTTTACATCTGACAATGGTCTACTGGTCTCACCAAGGCCAGACGTGTAAGTTAACGGAAACTAGCAAATGTAATGTGGGTATGTGACAAGAGAATCGTAATCACCGCGCTGGTGGGCCCGCGCGTCGCGCTCGCAGATGACGATTGTTCCAGGTAGTAGATGGCGACAACAGGAAATTTACGGGGTCTGATGAAGTCCGGTGCTCCATTCGACAGGTTAGCACGAGTTAAGAAAACGCCGCGCCTATTCGCCGCACGCGGCGGAGCGGCAAATCACGATTCTCTTGGCCGTCTCCCGTAGAATGTCCTCTACCACTCTTTCCCATGCCTGCCAAAACCATAATTTCCTTACTTTTTAGTGCTAGTTTAAAATTTCTAGACATATTTCGGAGGAACTTTTCTTATTTTGTCTAGTTCGGCCTTGTCCTTTCCCATTTAAAGACTTTGCGGTGGAGGAGAAGGGTCGCTTGAATGAGGTAGGGTTATGGTTGTGGGTCTCCGCCCATCCGCTTATCGGAGAGTATGTCTATAAAATCTACTGATTTTTATTCCACAGCTTATTTCTATAGTTGTAGGCAATCGAAAGACAGCGTAATAGCCGCTTTGACCATTTCAATCACACGAGGAGACTAGCTGAAAATGTGAGTGATGATGAGGTTGAAGTCGTCGAGCAGCTGAAGATGGATGGCGAAGAAGTGCCTCAAGATCTACGGAAGAAGCACCACAAGTCGAGGTAAAAGTTTGATCTGACTATCTGGCTGAATTTCCATCTTGCTAGTCCACATGATCGCCTTATTAACGACTTGTAAAGTCACTTTCATACTAGCGACTCCATAACAGCAATTGCTTTCGGCCTTCCCAACGGCCTAGCGATGAGCGGTAAGCGCGGTTGCTCACAGGAATGAATCGCGAAAAATGGCATAAAATGTTTTGCGGGAAGTAGAGCGATGTTTGGCTTGGTGGGGACATTTCGCACTTTCGCTTATCCGCTTTGCTAGTTCATCTTAGCCAACAGGTCTCACTCTGGTCAAACCTGTTAATTCCTGTAAAGCTGCGACATTGCGAGTGATCAACGGTGCTCAGGAATTTTACAGGTCTTCACATGGTGGCCTGCACAAGCTCAGCTGAATACCATTCGGTGCCCCCACCGAGCCTGAACTAGGCCTGAAGTAGACAGTTTTCAGGTATGCGGATGAGCTGATGCTCAGTGAATGGCTCGTGGACATTCCGGAACAGCTATCATCCGAATGGATGATGGTGCCGTCGCCAGTTGGTAAACGGGTACTAGTAGTGGCAGCAAAGGTATGCGACGCTTTTCCGTGAACTCGTGCTTTTTTGTTATGGTAGATGATCCTGATGATACCTTAGGGTGCCACAACTGCATATAACAAAGCCGGTAAAACCATTACACAATTCCGATCTCGATTACCAGGAGGATCTGGGAAAGTCAAGTGGGCTATTCCTATTATATCGTATCGGCACAGCTGTGAAGGGGAGGGGCATTTTGCACTTTCGCTGCTTCCCATTGTCGTGCCGAGTCATCGAGTAGGGACTTGTGAAATCTTGTGAAGCCATGGATACCAAATTTTGTTGAAACTGCTTGTCAACTCTTGTTAAGAATACTTATCAACTTTTGTATTAATGAACCCGGC